AGTTAGTCACTTACAGCGTGTTCTACACTGGTATGACAACCATCCTGATTTCCAGCCTCTTCCTTTAATCTCACAAAATCTCAACCTGTTTCCAATGAGGGGGCTTTCATGTATTTTAAGAGCTATGTAATTTAAGAGCTTCACTTGAGATGGAAAGGCTCCCACCTTAAAGGGTAAATCAACACTAGAACATGTGGGGCAGGAAACTGCTGCTGTTGCACTGCTCTGTATAGGTTGCAACTTAAGGCAACGCTGCACACCTGCCCACACCCTAACCAATACAGGCTTCGGCACACTGACTGACATACAGTATGCCTGAAAGTTGATTTAAGGATAACACTGATATTCTAAATTTCTGTTATCACTAGCGAGGATGTAATGTATGTCAGCAGGGTGGTGTATGTGGGATTGGTTTAAAATAAACTACAGCGCCTGTGTTCATCGTAATGACGTTGATCATGATAATGTCACCCAGTGCAACAGTGTTGCTCACTGATGTGTTTTTAATAGTTTTTGGACAACAATAAGCTCTTCTGGGCCTACTTGTTAGTAGGATCAATTCATTTTTGTCCATTAGAGTTGTTGTCCATAATAATAATATAAAATATCACCAGACTTGTCCTTTAAAAGGTCCAGTGTGTAGGATTTAATGCATCTAGTGGTGATGCTGCAGATTGCAACTAACAAAACCGTGCTCACGTCTGTAGCTGAGAATGGGAGAGGGCTGTGAGGTGTGTAGGAGAAACTACAGTGGCTGCAAAACTCATGAAAGGACCAGTCTACAGCCAGTGTTTGGTATGTCTGTTCTGGGCTTCTGTAGAAACATGGCGTTTCAACATGGAAGGCAACCCGCAGGCATACAAACTGCACAACGCTCTCAAGGACTGTTTAGTATCTGCTCAATAAAAAAAAAGAAAAAGAAAATACACACATTACCCACGTTAAATCTTGGACTGCAGTCAAATTCAGTCATACATGAGCTCAAAATCCTGTCTTTGTAATATTATATTATACATTATATACAATATTATACATTATATTTGTATATTATATTATTAGTCCAATGGTAGGGCTGGTTTGGGTCTCTACGGGGAAAAGGGTGTGGGTTCCTCCACATAATATCTTATTTTTTCCTTACAAAGTATAATTTTATTGTTAGGCTATTTATGTTTTTGTGTTGTTTGTTTCATTCCAACTACATTTGTTGATATCATGCATGTACATATTAATACCCCGCCACCCCCATCGCAATGCAGTGATCTCACCATAGATACTTTGCAGCACTGAGCTCTTACTCGTCGACGGTTTAATGGGTTGAGCTCGGACTTCCATCTTCTTCCTGTTATGGCCATGGTTTGAATCACTTGACTCCACCTCTTTGCGGGCCTTCACCTCTCTCCATCCGCGTGCGTGGAACCTGCAGACACACATCCATGCAAGCGCGTACACGTGCACGCCGTTCCATTAAAAAAGAATCTCAGACAGCGTTCAAAGGTCTAAAAGCTGGCAAGTCCCCACACTAATACTCACTGAGCATAAACAAAGTAAACAGAGTTTATTCAAGGCAGTTAATAGGCAGCACATACAGAATATAATTGTGACGCTGAATGGAAACAGAGGGCCTCCTGCGGTGGACTGGCAGCCTCTTAAGAGGAACACAGTGTGTAAGAGAGAGAAAAGCAAAGAGAGGCTGCTGGTAGCTATTAGAGCAGCACGGCTGAACTTTTAGCCTCTTGTTAAACCAGTATGAAAGCTCTAGATTATAGCCCGTCTGTCCCCTGCCTCCTTGTCTCACCCATCTCCCACGCACTCCCCCCCACTGCTCAAGTTTTGATGGCATCCAGACCGAATGTGTGTGTGTGTGTGGGGGGGTTACAGGAGGATGAGAATGGGTTGGGCATGTATGTGTGAGAGGGCACATGTGGGCACCACATGGCACTTCCAATCTCCGAGAGCCAGATAAGTTTCAGCTACCGAACCCCCCTCCAGGTACAAACACAAGCGCACACGTAAACTCACCTCCGCCAAGCTCGCTGGATGATGCGTGCAGCCTCGTTCATCGTCCGGCACTGCTCTTTGTAGTGTTCCTTGTGTGTGCGTGTTGAGATAGGTGCATGTGCGGCAGATTGAGTCTTTCTCGAAGGGCTTTTGTGGTCTAAAGATGAACTGCTTCTTAATGAGGGAGTGTGAGTTTGGTCTTTGGTGGTGGCCTTTTCTGAAGTCTGCTCCTTGTGGTTTCTGTGCTTTTGTGGAGAGGTGTGGGCATCAGTCTTGCTGGGGGCAGTCTGCACAGTCATGTGAGCGTCCCCCTTTTTTACAGGGATGCGTTCTCTTGTAATAGTGTCCCATTGGTCCGTCGCAGAGACGCTTACGGAAGAAGTGCATGTGTTTGATGAAGGTCGTTCCCTGACTTTGGGCATGGAGGGGGGTCTGGGTTTGAAGCTGGGTGGCTGACTGCAGCTGGCAGGAGAGAGAAGTTCCTTCAGCCTGGTGGTCTGGGAGGCACCAGGCACAGTGTCACTGGTCACATGAGAGTGGCGGCTCAAACCATCAGCAACCTCATGTGGTTCGGTTGCTTTACTTCTTCTGGAGGATCTGCTCTTGTGGGCTGGTTAAAGAAATAAAGGAAGAAAATAAAGAAAACATGAGATTTACAAGAGTTTTCTGCTTTATATGCGTTTACTTCTAGGAATGCAGTTTTGTTTTTCAATAAATATATTTAACTTGGAGTTGTTATTTGTTGTTAAAATGTTTTTATTTAATGTTATTTTGTTTAATTAATATCACAACTCTTGCAAATTAGTACTAGCCTCTAATACTAAAACAGCATTATAATTCCCTATACATCAGTTCAAACTGTAAGAATTTATGCACATCTGTACCTTTCAGCCTCTCCTCCTTGCTCTTAGTGCGTTCAGCTTTGGATTTCTTTGTCTCCACCATTGAATCATTCATGGATAAGTCCTCTATAATGTTGACTAAAGAGGTTTTTTCCTGCTCTGTTCTCCCCAAAGGGACCCTCCGTTTCTCTGCAGTGGCCACAGAGACTTGCTGCACAGCTCCTCTCCTCCGCTGTTCTTCCTCTCGTTTCCTGAACACAAAGAATAGCAGCCAGATTGAATTGTGACATATAGTTTTGTCTGAAATGCACCACATGAACAACTAGGTCCAGGTGGAAAAACAAATGTATTGAGTTTATTTTAAATGTATGGACATTCTTTAAAATGATGTGCATAAGGGTTAATGCACATAATTATATGTTAAGTCCACTGTCCGCAATGTTTATAAATGTGTATGTTTAAACAGACCGATAACAGCAGTGTCCACACAAGATGAGAATTAATTAATTTCCGCTGTAATACCTCACCATCAAGTGTACATACAAATGAAAACTGACCAGTTCACAAAGGCAAAACCAAGACAACACCAGATACCCTGTCTGTGCAAAAACAGCTTTTTAGTAACATGTTTTATGCATTTCGTCACAACCAACTAGGATACGAAGGCAAGATGTGGTAGAATATTTTGAGGGTACTAAGAAAAACATCTCAGACTTTTATTTATTTATAAGCTGAAGCCAATGTGCCCTCTTAAAACAAATTCTCCCCTTGTAAGGCAAATAAAGGTGAGACGGGTGAGCAAATGACAAAAGGAGAGCAAGCCAGAGGAGAGAGACAGGGGGAAGACGTATGTGTGTGCAGGGATGACAGAGAGAAAGATAGATATGGAGAGAGTGTGACTGTTCCTATATGGGTGAGAAGAAGAAGACAGAGACCGATAATGAAGACAGAAACAGGAGTGAGTGATGAACACAGCGGACGCAAATGTAAAATCCCAAAGAGAGGGATGTTTATGAGAGTCTTACACGCATCATGAAGCAATAGAGCCAATGACTAACGCTTCAGAGTGGCGCACACAAATATGTCGGTATGCATGTGTGTGTGCTCATCTCTCACTTGGCTGCATCCTTGCGCAGCTGCTCATGCCTCATGAGGAGCTGCTTTCTCTCCCTGAAGGCCTTGCGGACGGTGTAGCCCTTGTAGACAGCCTGTATGGAGGCAGCAGCGATGTCCTGGATGGCTGCTATGGACAGAGCACCGTGCTCCAGCATGAACTGAGTCACCTCGCTGTGCCCCCCCAGCAGAGCGTAGTCCAGCGGGGTGTACCTGCAAAACACCAGTGTCATTCATAAATCTGTTTTCCCCACTTCTACAACGCTGTCTCCTCACCCCTTTCTCCTCCTTCTTGACCGGCTCTGTCCTCACCTCTCCTCGGTGTGCTCCATGTGATTAGGGAAGGCATTGTAGCCCAGTAGCAGTTTCACAGCGTCCAGGTAGCCATTGTTGCATGACCAGTGGAGAGCAGTCCGCCCCTGTGCGCCCATAAGAAAGAGCACCCCTTCAAACTATAGTGAGCTCAGATAACAAGATTTGTGGATGAATTATTGGGCGTACGAGCACACTTTTTTACCTCCTTGTCCTGTATGTTTGGATCGGCATTGTTCTCCATGAGAACAGCCATGCAGGTGATGTAGCCGCCGTAAGCAGCACACTGCAGAGGAGTCCGTCCTGCCTGGTCCTGCTCAGGAGACGCCAAATATTTAACAATTAACAGAGTCGCTGAGGATTACATTCGCTTGCTCATAAAGCAGTGCAGAGGAAAATTTAATTCCCATATTAAATGCATACAGGACAAACATACAATCCTTTTTTAGTGAATAGAAAGCCGTCCACTTTGTAGAGAAAGCTAACATCATGCTACAGCTGCCTATCACAGCAAATATAAGTGTCTATTTAAAAACACACATATGTAGTTATATATATATATATATAAATAGTGTCTATTTAAAAACCCATATGTATATATATGTAGTTAGAGCACATCCCAGAGAGACATAGGGATGGACTCTGAAAATGAAACTTCCCTTTATTGTCTATGTAAATATGAATAATGATAATTGAACTATTATTGTTATTAAATGATTATTTGATTATGTGCATTCATACCTGTACATTGGGACTAATCCCATTCTCCATCAGTATCTGGCAGACCTCAGCATTCCCTCCCAGAGCTGCCCAGTGCAGAGCAGTGTGACCGTCCACGTCTACCAGGTCCACACGTGCAGAACCTTTATTCATTACATTTACATTTCATTTGAGGCGTGTACCTGACCCACAGAATGGGTAGTTATTGCAATGTGTGCACACGTGTAACAATTGCACCTACCTTTGATGAGTGTGAGAATGACATCTCTGTGTCCCATTTCGCAAGCGCGAAACAGCGGCGCGTGTTTCATCACATCCAGAGAGTCGACCATCGCTCCCCTCTCCAACAGCAGCTTCACTGTGCTCACATGGCCCGACAGGGAGGCCGCATGGAGTGCTGTGTGAACACCCACATACACACACACACACACATTAAAGAAATAACCTGAGATAAGATCGCAACTCTAACTGGGCAATAAACACTGAGGGTGTCTGATACTTCCTTGTCTGCCTCTTTTTTGTTCATTCATCCCCTTGACTGCAGCTCCTCTCTGGGCTGTGGCTAAAGTCTGGTCAATGGAGGGTTAAACAGACATTTAATGGGAGCAATACTCTTAAGCCTACTCATAGCTACCCCTCCTTCCCCTCTCTCCAGTCCCCAGACAGTACAGACTAGAGTCAAGTGTATGGAAGCGATCTGGGCACCAGTCAGCTCCACTGCCCTTCACACCGTCTCATTAGCATGACTCAACCGTTGCATGTTATGCATGCATAAACAATGACCGCCTGGCTGAGCAAAGGGGCTATTGCCATGGAGATTATACATCCAAAGATCGCCAGGGGTCAGAGCGTGGCAATAAGTCATGTGTGTCTGCGTGTGTGTGTGTGTGTGTGTCAGAGAACAGTGCTGGCCGTGGTGGGAGTCTATTCAGTGAGCTCACACTCACACTAATTTTGCTGACAGTATCACCTTCCCCTCTCACTTAGTCTCACAGTCTCTCTAGCACCTTGGGGGAATCCTCTGTGACATCATCATCCCTAGCCTAAAACAAGCAGCAGGCCGCACTGTGAAAAAACAAACAAGGATAAAAGTGTGTGTTTGTGTGTGTGTACAGTATCATTGACCAGGGTTTTTGTGTCACCATGCCCATGGATGGCGTTGTGGGTCAAAGCAGTTTAGAGGAGCCTCGGTTTCCCCTCTTGTTGCTCAGGTTCTCACCGGTGCCTCCGTACTTGTCGGCCATGTTGATGTCAATGTGAGGGGTGAGGGCCAGCATGGTGCTGATGACATCATTGCTGCCCTTCCCAGCGGCCCACATGAAGGCCGTCCTCCCCTCCAGATCGGGTTCATCCTTCACAGATGGGTGGGAGAGGAACACACCCACTGTCTCCTACACACACACACACACACACACACACACACACACACACAGAATGATTATACTGAAAAAGGTATTTTAATATTTTTATAAAATTAAATAAGGATCCCACACACTAAACAATCAAGCTTCCATTCTCAGAAAGATACATAACATACAGGATGAGAAGGCTTTATTTAATTATTATCAATATTGTGTTTTGGATAAAGGTGCATGATCCTGACTCAGCAGGTTTTCCACCTTTATGTTAAATGTATATGACTCACAGCATTGTTGCTCTGAGCGCCATAGTGCAGCGGAGTTGCTCCTTGGCTGTCTGAGGGAATAGTGCCCGATGTGTTTCTTTCCAACAACAGGTGGACGATTTGGGCGTGGCCTGAAAAACACGTTTACTTTACTGGGATGTGAGGGTGACAGATAAGGACAAGGATATACACAGTAAGGAAGTGGGACAATTGCTCAGCTATACTGTACTACAAAGGCACCATATATTTTTTACTGTCTGTTTACTTTACAAAACTGTTAACTGAAAAGCAAAAGACTCCACATCAAGTTAACATAAGTCAACCGTCATTATTTACACAATCACTAACCACTATGTTTGTCTTTGTTTGGTATTATACAAACAGGTTGTAAGAACCTTAAAGCCACAGAAACAAGACTAAAGGTCTACAGCCGGGATAGCGGCTCTGTGAAACTGCACTTGGGAGCATAGTGTGTCCTTTAAGCATGCTCCCAAAGACATTACTAATGTCCTAATATTAAGTGGGTATAGTGTTAGTTCAGCATGTTAGCATGCTAACATTTATAAATTAGCACTAGACACAAAGTACAGCTGATGCGAATGTCACCTAGGACTACCATTATCAAAGTCAGTATAATGCATACTGTGGGTACCATTAATGTCTGTACAACATTTCATAGCAGTTCATCTGATAGTTGTTGAGATATTTCTG